CGGATTTATGTTCTTCACAGAAAATAAGCCAAAGCCAATGAATTTCAGGTTGAAAAAATAATTAATTGTTTAATTTTTCTTTTGAAAAAAACTGAAAACGGGTCTCACAGACCCGAACACCATACAAGAGTTAAATGTTTTGAAAAAATTTTGAACACAATTTCAGCACCCCAAATGAAAAATAAAATAGAATCAAACATAAGCATTCTGTAATCGTTGTCATCTTTTTTGTGCAGATACATAAAGTATATGTTTAAATAGTTAAACATATACTTTAAACATATATAATTATAAATATACTCTAATTGTAATTTAATAATTGATTTACCAGGTGAAGTTGAGTTTAGGGGTTCAGTGAAGTGACATCATCAACACTTTGTCATAACACTGATTTCTAACTTTTTAAATACTTACTTACCTGTGCTTGAAGCCTGTAACAGAAAGAGAAAGAGCACACGTGCAAACAAACCAACTTTAAACCCTGTATGCTGTACAACAAAGGGGAAAGGACAACAGGACCCACTACCAGGAAGGTCCCACAGCTACTTGCTTGTCCTTGCTTACTAAGAAATCCACTGCAAGGACATTAATATTTTTAAACAAATGTAAAAATGATACGGTACTTGGCACTAGGTGCTGCAGCTGCTGTGTGTGTTTGTATCTGAGAGAGATTTTGCTTCGTCATGGAGAGAATGAGGGCAAGAACTTTCTGTCCTGTTAAACCAGTTGGTGCAGCTTTAATCTGATCTGGAATCAGTCCAAAGAATATACGTATTTTTATCACGGTATTAACGTGTTTCATGCGTCATCAATGAGATGTTTTTGTTATACCTTGCAGGAGCATGAACAGAACCTGTGATGTGTGCGTATGTGCACGAGTTTTAAATAACTTCAGCTTTTATCATTTATCGTTCACCTTTTGTTATTGTAACGTAGTTACTTTACAATAAAAAGTATCTTGAGGTAACTGTTGTTGTAAGTTGGTGCTATATAAATAAGTAAGTACTGTATTACTTGCTTACCTAGTGATTACTTGCTTACAATATAAATAAACACATTATGTTATTCAAAATAAAATAAAATAAAAAAATACTTTATCTTTATTATTAGCTCATTCACTCCTGCATATAGCTTGATGTCATCCATATAGACATGGTTGCTGACAGTATCTGTAGCCACTCTTGGTAATGATCACTCCCCAGTGGGGACAAAGAATCTCCTTAACGCACTTGCAAGTCTAATAGCAGTTTTACGGTTTTTCTTTTCAGTTTTAGGACAATAAATCATCAAGTTGAGCTGGAAGACTTGGTCAATGCAAAACAAATGTTTTGACTGTTAATATGAACCCACTCTACAGTCCTAAATTTTTTTAGAATTAAATCAAAAGTACTTGAGTAATAGTGTTTACTGACAGAAAGGATGACACCCATGTAATGCTTAGTGGGTGGAGACAATGCATTCATCAGGGCATCTGTTAAAACACACACCTCAAATAACTAATAAAAGAAAACAAGTCAGTCTGCTCTCCCACAAAGGCACTCCCTGTTATTTTTATGCACGAACGTCATTATCTTTGGCATTGTTTTTTAAATAGTCCCAGATTTCATAATCAACATCAACTCCTCTTTCCTCATGAGACAGTCAGAGAGAGAGGCTGAACATAAGCATGCAGAGCTGATATGACACTGACCAGTGTTTAACCTAGTCAGGTTTAAAACATAGTTATTCTGTTCTTCCTGGGGGAAAAAAGCTTAATCATTTAGAATAGTTTTATTTAGCTTTGAATGAGCAGAAGTGGATGAAATGCCGGCTGGGAAAAGCTCGTCTCTCTGCCAGATTTTACTGTCTGTCTGCCTCCTGTTTTCCTCTACAGGTGAGACTGAACTTGCTTTAAATTCAAGAGGATTCACAAATAGAAACACACAACGAAGAGCCATGTTTGGATTCTTGCTGTCTATGAGTACATGACACGATCAGATGCTACTGAGGAGTTTTTAAAGATCTGAGCCCCTGCTCCAGAAAGTAGAGTCAGTGAAAGTTCTGATTTTGTTAAGCCTTAGATATGGTCGAGAAAATGGGTTCATTTAAACTCCAGAGATTTAGCTGGACATGTGCTGCGGTGATTGTGAGGTGGAGACTGCAGCTGCTGAGGGTGCACTACTGCTGAACCTTTGGATGGCTCTTTTGATGTTTTCAGCTAAATCGTGTTTGTGCTGGTAGGCAAGAAGTGAAGCAACTTATGGCGGTAAGAAGAACTGGACCACTACTGCACACTTTAGCACTGGAGGTTTTCGTAAAGCTTTTATTTTGGTATTTCCATTGACCGGTAATATAAATTTGCATGTTAGCTAAATATTTAGTTTCCTGTAATATTTAGATTACATTTAAAATTGTGTTTTAAATATACAAAGTAACAAATATTTTAGTAAATGTTGTACGCGTTAGCTCCTTAACTCGTTAGCACTGTGCAGGACCATGCACAGGGCGATTCACGTTAACTCGCTAACGGAGATTTGCCGCATTAATATGGTTATGGCGTTTATGTCAAAGGTTTATGAATGAGAGGTCTGGAAAATGCTATCAAAACACATGTTGAAATCAAGTTCTTGTTTTTCTCAATTAGAGTTGCATCGCTTCCCTTTTTAAGGTTAACTTGAAATTCACCATTTTTGAACTTCTATCAGAAATTTCATCAGAGCTCCAATAACACCATCGTTTCATGTTATTAAAAAATCTACAACCTCATTTTCATTCAAAGGAGTTGATCTCAGACATACATGAGCCTAAGTTTTAAGGGACTGTCTACAAATTGCAACACTGAAAAATAAAAAAATTAAAACAGAATATTAAGAAATATTAACTAAAAAACTCTGCTTTCAAACACTATAGAGTAAGAAAATTCATTTCATACCAGGTATTCAGTATAATGACCCCAACTGTGTTATCTACCACACTGATAGTGTTGCGAAATCAGTTTTACCCCGGTTCTTTTTATTCCTCGAGCATCCAGAGATGGCACCGGACTCAGTAGTCATTTTCACAAAGCCTTTATTCATCTTTACTCATCTTTACTCATCTTCATTCATCTTCATTTAAGCATGCATCTTCTAGAAGGGAAGACTTGCCAGGCCGGTGCCCCTCTGCAAAATCTTCACCCCTTTGTTAGTTACAGCCAGCTTTATAGAAGCGACCCCATCATAAAACCCCCACGGTGTGCTGCAAACTCTGTCTGTGTCTATGTGCACGAGCACATGAATGCCTACATGTGCGCGTTCCTCGTGTCTATGTGAGTGCTCGTGTGTGACTGTGTACGCATACCTGTGTGTATGTGTGAGTGCACATGAGTGAGTGTGCGTGTGGATGTGTGTGCGTGACAGTTAAAACACTGTGGGTGTAGGTGACTCCCTAGAGGTCATAAAACCCATCTCCCTTCCAGACCACAGTTATCCAGTTACAAATGTTGAGACCCCCACCCAAACATTCTCTGGGGAATTTCCACTCAGCATTAACTCCTCTCTGTTTTACTTTCACAGTTCAAGTGGGGGAGGGGTCTCCTACAATCTACTCCTAATTCACGACACAGTGAGGCCTTTATTATATTAAGGAGCAGTCAGTGTCTTACAATAGTAAAGCTTGAAGAGCGTTCTTCACCTCTCATCCGAGAAGCTTCTTCAGTTCTAAGGTCAAATGGTGGAGAGTCCCAGATATAAACCTAGTGGGAGTATTCCCCCCACAGAGGGACAAAGGACCCCCTGATGATCCTCTAATCGCCTGAGCCAAGGTGTGAAACTGGGTGTGGGTCCCAATCAGCCAGAGTTTCGGGTGTGTTCATTGTGAAACCTGGCCCCACCTTATCATGCGAATTCCTGAGGTCAGATGGCCCAGGATGTGAGTGGGCGTTAAGGCGTCTGGGAAGGGATCTCAAAACTGGATTATAGATGGCAGAGAGTTGGTGTCGTAAACCCCCGCCTCTGTTCAAAGATGGTCGCTCACAGTGGACATAGATGGCTTCTTTCACTCCTCTTTCAAACCATCTGTCCTCTCTGTCCAAAATGTGAACATTGGCATCCTCGAAAGAGTGTCCTTTATCCTTAAGATGCAGATCTGTGTACAGCTGTTGAATGTGTAATGACTGTTTCCTATCTGTGTTGTTGTTGTAAGTCTGGTTTGTCAACATATCCTGTTTGTTCATAAAAATAATAAAACAGGTCCTTCTGATCTTACTGCAACAGTGAGTCTGAAATAAGGCTTTAAAACGGTTTTATTTAAAATAAGGTATATATTTCAACACTTTGGCAAATCTACACATAAACTAATCAATGATGTATGCATGCTTGCCAAAGCTAACACACACTTATCTGAGATGAAAACTTAAAGTAAACATTTTTGTGGGTAATCGTTAGAATACTCAGTATTAACTATTTATTATAAATGTTCCCTCTGATTTAATTGAATGTATTTACATACTGCAGGAACTCACGGTGTGTCAGATACTTCTATCTCTCACCATATCTCAGATTGAAAAGACTTTTTAGTTCAGCTGAGCTCTGCGGGCTCTCTGTCTGTGAACTAATAAGGTTCTCCCCTGTTTCAGATGGGAAAATCATCAAAGCTGAGTCTGGACAGAACGTGTCTCTGCCATGTCAAACTCCAAACATCAGCATGCCCATCAGAGCTGTGGAGTGGTTCAGACTTGACCTGCAGGAAGGACATGTTCTCATGTACCGGGGTGAGCAGTTTATTTCATTCAACCAGCTTCCATCGTTTGTGAACCGGGTGGATCTGCAGGACAGACAGATGAAGGACGGAGACGTGTCTTTGACTCTGAAGGATGTGACGAGTGATGACACTGGAACATTTCAGTGTTACGTGGTCCAGAGAGGAACAAATGGCAGGAAAAGCATTTTTGAGTATATCAGCACCATCTACCTGAGAGTTGTTCCTCCAGGTGAGTCATTTAGAAGAGGAAATGGATTATTTTCTGTTCTTCACTCATCACCTACCTGACAGCTGACACCTCACACCTGTTTCTCACCTGCAGGTCAGACAGGAGGACACAGGAAAGGCAAAGGGAACGAGTATGTATCCTCTGGACTGGACTTTTGTTTAACAGTTAGTGTTATACTTGTTACGCTAGCTCTTGCTTTTTTTATGACCTTCACAATACCCAAAACACAGGAGAAGAAGATTTGATCCAGACCTCAGATGACTCGACAGGTGAACCTTAAGTCACCTACCCACTAAACATTGGACATGGGATAGACGTGCAGATCATGTCTATACTGGGTCCATCAGTCCATGACCAATTCTGAACATCTATATATCCAAACTAGGTCCGCAACTTGAAAGACCTCATCTGGTGTTACAGAAATGGCAGATAAAAGTCACTCCGAGGTCACTTTGCTCAGTGGGTTGTAGATGTCTAACACCTGAATTTATTTAATAATGTCTTTAGTGTTTCTTTAGAAACATTATTAAAAAGATTTTAAAAAAAGTAAATGAATGAAACAAAGTGTTTCCTTTTCCAAGATTGTTTAGCTGTTAAAAAGCAATCATTTAAATCAAAGCTGGATGTAATCAAGTCTTCATAGAGCAGCCAGTCCCAAATGACTGCTACAATCCACTTTCACCAAAACTTATTTTTTATTTCCAGAATTATTTCTATCATTATGTTTTCATTTATTAATTTGATGATTTAATTTTTTGGGAAGCAGTGTGTGACACCTATAAATGTATGATCACATACATCATGTTGAAACAGGATTTCTACATGATCTAGTCCTCACTCATTTTGTTTCTATACTGTACATACAGCCTGGTATATATTTATTTGGGAGACGGTGGAATATGTTTGTTTGTCACTGTCAGAGTTTTTTGTATATTTGTATGTGTTCAGAGATAAAGAGAGTTTACAAAGTGAATAATAAGCAGGTTAATCAGTGTTAGTGAATCTGCTCAGATATATTATTGAAGCTGCAGAGCAGGAGGATTTAGTTGTAAGTTACACTGCATGTAAAAGGGATCAATAAAAGGTCATTATTGTGTAAATTTATACCTAAACAAACAAGGTAACCAGGTGGGTTTAAAGATCTTAACCTGAGTCAACGTTGTGTTTTTATGTGACGACAAGATGACAATGTGTACATGGACAAAAAAAGATGGTGAAATTCTGTTTAATAAATAGATGAGGAAGAGTTTGCAGCCTGAGCACAACTTGTGTCTCCTGCTCGTGTTTTTCTGTATAAAACAGGCCCATCTGAAGGCCTGCAACAGCTACAACGAACTCTCATGTTCCCTGTTTCTCATGAAAACACTGCAAAATATCAGCATTTGGGACTTAATGACCCAAAATTCATATCTCGATATTTTTTAGCTGGATGGCGATATAAGATATATATCTCGATATATTTTTTTTAAAGCCATAAAGTAAGAACAAAAAGAGAGTTCTTAGTCAAAGCTGTGTCCCAGATGTCACACAGGCACTTTTATTAACATAGAGCAGATGTACATAAAATTTACTCAAAAATAAATTATGAGCATTTATTAAATAATAATGCTCCATAAATAAAAGAAAACAATGTTGTTTTTGTGCATAACAAAAAGCTCACAATTGTGCAGTCAAAATGTAAACTAAAAGACGCTGAGCATAATAACAAAGACAGATTTCACAGCTGCTCTGTTCCCAACTTGTACTGCGTGACTGACAGCCTGGAGTTTGAAATCCGCTTCGCAACCACGTCTCTTAACAGGTGCCATTTATGGTCCTTATACACAGTAGGGTAATATTACGTTGAAGCACAGTACGTATCACTCCGCGAGGCTCAGCCGTAATGCTCCGACAGTCCATCAAGCGGTGCAGCTCCGTAGCTTACCAAAGTCGTACTAAAACATTTTTTGACAGATTGCTGAGCGCCGTGTTCCACATAAAATCGGTTCGCGGCCATCAAGCACAACCAGAATTCATACATAAGGCGCGCTGTCAACTAGAAAATGAAAGGATTTTAGTCCGTGCAGCACCTCTGGGCTGCATGGCGTTAGCGTGGTTAGCTCGTTAGCGTGGTTAGCTAGCTAACACGTTGACGGCCGTCCAGCCCCACGCACGGGGCGATGCGCAGTAACTCGTTAACGGAGATTTGCCGTGTCCATCTTGTCGCTTCCTGCAGGTGAAGCGATGGGGGAGGAGGGGGAGTTGTGTTCAGTGAAGGAGAGGCGAGGCCGAGTAACGTTGCGTAAAGACGAAAGTGGACGAAAGAGAGGCAAACTTGCGGCTCCACAAGTATAATTATAACGTAACATAGACTATATCGATATAAAGGATATTGTCACATCTTATATCTCGTATAAAAATATATCGATATTTTTTAAAAACTCGATATATCGCCCAGCTCTAACGAGGTGTCTTTTTCTGAAGAATGTGACAAGAAATGACACTGGAACATATCAGTTATGTCATGTCAGAGAGGAAAGAACCAGGAATGCACTGTGGAACCATATCAGCATCATCACACTGAGTTGTTGATCCTCCAGGTGAGTGAGTAGAGTTGAGTGTGTGTGTGATCAGAGGTGAAGCTGCTTCCTGGTTGTTGATGTTTGTTTCTAAAGATGTTGTTGATGAGACTTTGTAGAAAGCAGCTGGTCTGAGTGATGTGATCAGAGTGCAGTAGATAATGTCTGACAGCAGTTTGAAGAGGAAATGGATTCTGTTCTGTTCTTCACTCATCACCTACCTGACAGCTGACACCTCACACCTGTTTCTCACCTGCAGGTCAGACAGGAGACACAGAGGATGGAGGGAAGGAGGATGGACCTGCTGGACTGAATGTTTGTCACTTTTTGCTTCTTGCTGCTGTTGTTGCTTTTTCTATGACCTCTTTTCACAGAAAAAGATCTACACAGTGTCATGGTCCCCGTGCCTGCTCGGCTGGCCCTGTGTGGCTACATGTTATGTTTTGTCTTTTCTCTCTCTCTCTCTCTCTGCTCGCTGCCTGGGCGGAGCTCATTGTGAGCTCCCGGCCTCCACCACCTGTAGGCAATCACCTGTGGCTCCTCACCTTGTTTGCTCCCGCTACTTAAGGCAGTGACTGAGAGCACCTCGCCGCTGGACTATTGAGTAACGCTCGTCAGTGCTACTTTAGCCTCAGCCAGTTTTGAGCTCTGTCCGTGAAAGTTCCGTGCTAACCCTTGTTCTCTGTATGCTTTTATGTGCTATTTTAAATAGTTACTAATAAATTGACAATTTGCTTTATCACTAGACCACGGCCCTCTATTGAGTATAACAGACCTGAGCGTCTTCCTGGTAATTAGCATTACTTCGATCCAGTGTTCTCCGGGTGAAATTCCAGGGTGGCGTTGTCGGTTGTCTGTTAAATTGTGAAGAGTATTTATTCCATCCCAGCCTTGTGCTGCCACGTTTAGTTTAAGATCTACATTCTGATATTCTGATGAGAGAGAGGTTGAGTCTCCATGAACAGCTTTACTGCTGCTGTTTGACATCTTTGCTATTCAAATAAACTTGCCTTGCCTAAATCTCTTCTTTTGGTCCATCTGTGCCTCTTTCTTGGACCAACAGGGGGGCCGTGATCCACACTTTGGGAATCACTGCTATAGTGACTCAATGATCTATTTTTTTTTCTGGGGTAGCATGTAGATTACTTTATATTCCTGTAAGAGTATATTTGTTTTATTTGTTTATTATTAACAAATTTTCAACATGTATTATTACTGAGTGACGGCTTTGCTAAATCCAGCTGTGAGCTTTTTGACTGTTTCTGGGGACACTGAGCAGCAGCACAGATCTATACTGTGACAGTATAATGGATGGTATGTGTGTTTATTTATTTAATCACTTAGTCTCAGCTCAGCCTTTTTGCATATAAATATCTTCCATTCATACAATATGCCAGCATGATTTCAAGATAGTAAGTTTAGACTGATCGAAGCAGGAACTGAGTAAAAATGTGACCTGAGTGTGAGGTATGTCTGAAAGAGACTGACTAACCCACAATAAATAAATAATCAAGTAACTAAAAATTATTTTTACTCAGGCCATGGTGTAATAATGATCACTAAACCTTTGAAAATAGTCCCTTTAACCTTCCTAACATTAAAGATAATATTTTAATAATACCGCAACATATTTAATTTTACAAATAGAGACAATATGAACCAGAAAAACCTGTGTGGGCCTGTCACTGTGAAAAATTTGAAGCCTCCAGTTTTTGTTTTTTTGTTTTTGTCTGAACCAGGAAGTGTTTTGAATGCAGGGCAGAGCTCTGACTCTGCAACCAAAGGGTAAGGTTGAGGGTAAAAACCTGTTTCAGTGTAGCATACAGGTGTTCAGCAGTACTGGGAACAGTGGGTGTGTTAGTGGAGGCGCTTAATGAAATGATCCCAGGAAGCAGGTTGTGAGATTATTATACTATCCTATGCCACCTTATACTTCTAATCAAAGAATTGTTGAATCATTATACAGCTATAGGCCACATTATGTCTTGGATTAAAGATGTGAAATCATTACTGTTTTATGATGCACTATACTGCTGATTTATAAGAAATACTGTTTGTAAGAATCATTGGCCTTCCTTTTCTGAGTACAAGAGAACAGAACATACCGTAGAGCTTTTCTGCCCTATCTCATCAGGAGGAGATAAAACAGGAAGCCAAGGTCGTCACGTAGGCGCCGTAAGAGAGAAAGAATGTGAATGCTTAGTGTGGCGGAGGGCTGAAGCTATAAGACTGTGAGAAACAGTCAGACACTTTGACATTTTGCAGGAAACCCCGCCTTGCTCATCTCCTGTCAGGACGTTTAAGCTCAAAGTGTGTAAGGAATTATGAGAAGTGTATGGAATAAAGAGATTGTTGATTGAGCATTTATATACTGAGTGTTTATACACCCACACACCATCAGGCTGTTTAACTCCTCTCTGGAGGGGAGAGGGAGGGGAAACAGGAGGACAAAGGAGGGGGGACAACTAAGCTGTAGTGCCTCTTCACTGTGCAATACTTTTTGTTAATAACCAACGGTGCAACAGACTCACAATACTTGAAATGTGCAATTCCCTTGTATTCTTATTCCTATTTATTCTATTTATCCCTTTTGTATACTCTGTATTTATATATGTGTATATATGCTATTCTGCTCACATTCTGTAACTTCTGTCGGTGCTGTGCTATTGGAAACTGAATTTCCCAGAGGAATCCACCCGAGGGATTAATAAAGTTTTATCTTATCTTATCTCTCTTCTTGTTCTTCCTTCAACCCAAACAACAAATATTTGGGATATTTAACAAGGTGTAGCAGGCCTCCTATTTTCATTACAGATAACTCGGTTCAAACTTTAAATGTTGTTTGACAAAATCTCAGCTGTGTTTCAACGTGTTTTTTGACAGCATTTCCTTTATAACCTTTTAACCTTTATAACAGGATTAAATATGCTGGGATCAGTGAAGTAGAAAAAGTTCACAGTGTGACATTGAAGTGTTTCTAACTCGAACTGTGAACTTCTGCTGATTAAAACACTTTAATGTTGTATTTAGTGACTGTAATAATAAAAACAGGTGCAGCAGGAAGAAAACGCGATGGAAAACAAAGCGGTAACTAACTTGAGAATCCAAACATGGCTCTCAGTGCTGTGTTACTATTTGTGAATCCAGCTGAATTTAAAGCGCGTTCAGTCTCACCTGTAGAGGCAAACAGGAGGCAGGGAGTGAAATCCAGCAAACAGACACACATGTCCCAGCAGGCATTTCATCCACTTCTGCTCACCAAAACTGAATAAAACTATTCTGAATTTCCAAATGATGAACAGAATAATCTCTGTGTCTTCTGATGATGGATGTGTTAAAGTTCTTTATTATGAAATCTGAGACTAATCAAAAAACATGCCAAGGGTTGATGGTGCACCAAAACATAAATACAAATAAGTGCCTCTAATTATTTTATGGTGTCTGTTGCCACACGTGCCCCGACTGCAGCGAGAAGTATTTCTTACTTCCGCCGCGGGGGTTGTGTTTTTAGTAGCGTTTGACACATGTGCATTCAAACATGCTACTCCCTTGAAATTAAAGATAACACACAGATAAGGAAGACAGGAAAAACTGTTTGTTACTCTACCTTTATTTGCAAAACTTTATAGTTAACACACACAGACCCTGTTCGTTTCTGCTGTTTCCTAAGCACAGAATGTTTTTCATACCTTTTCTGCAAGAGTGTG